AAATACATAAAGATAAGCGGCCATTTAATAATGGTTTGAAGGTGAAAACTGAACAAAGGAAAAAAAAAGGTTAAAATAATAATTGTCTGTTCACTTTTCCTCCAAGACTTCAGAATAATCTCTTTGCTTCTGCAATCATCTTTTATTGTTGTTGACTTACAATGTCAGCTTTTCTTCAGTGTGAATGGTAAATGGTCTGCATATACAGCATCTTTCTACCTTAACAGACAAACCGCTTTACAATCTTTCCTCTCATTCACCTATTCACACACACATTCACACAGCGATGGTTGCGGAGCGAGGTGCTGGCCTGCACAATGGGGGCATTTTTCTTCCAGTGTCCCGCTCAAGGACAAGGGGCTCACACCGCCAACCTTGTGAATAAAAGACGACTTGCTCCTGAGCCACCGCCACCCCTTAGTTTTCCAAGATGTTCTATTAATATTTGTTATTTATGCTTGTGCTGTGCGGCTGTAATGCTGTCAACTACTGAAGGAAATGTATAATAATGCCATCGATTTCAAGGCTGTTATCAGCACATTTTGTGTACCGTCAGCTTAAGTTGCAGCATAACTGCTTGTGTTTAAATGTATATTTTGAAAGAGGAATAAAAGTGCTTCACTACATCTAATACAACTGACATTGAATTAAAAGACCACATGTGGACATTGGGACAAACAAACAAATTATTCAGCTCTGCAATATTTCGATTGAGCTCTGCAAATTGATGCGTTTACTGTATGGTTCAGTCCCACAGCTCCCATCAACTCTGTTTTAAGCAGCTGCAGACAGCTTCATCAGGTTTATATATACACACTGTAGTAAGAAGCAATGCAGGTCAAAGTGCAGAGAAGCAGCTCTGTCAAGCTGTAGAAAGAGCTGTGTAAAGAGCACAGTTGTTGAACAACCTTACCCTACAGGTAACACTAGTGACATGCTACACAACCTCATTATGAATACTATAGACAGAGTGACTGGTTGGATATTTCATAGGTATTAAATCATAGCAGAAGATTCTCTCAAAATTGCTTTTATTCGTATGCATGTTTTACTGTTGTACAACAGTATTGTCATAACAAGGACGTTTTTGTTTACCAACTGTAAGCATTTATGTTACCAACTGTAACATAAAAATAGATTCAAAATAAAGCTTCATGGTAAATAAAGCTGCAATCACCATATTAATGGGTTGAAAATAAAAAAATACACAGTATATGCACACTAAATAATGACTCATTTAGCGCTGAAAATATTAGTTAGTTGATCAATTTCCAAAAATTAAACATAAGAAAATGTATCGAAAAAAGGTTTGATGAACCATTAATGGTTTAAAGTAATATTCCCGAAGTTCTTAATCTAAATAACTGTCATTCACATGTTTTACCAACTCCAAGCGAGTAAAACAACACTGCTCGCTCCAACTCCTTCCATTGTCATCCGACAACAAGTCACGTGACACAAAAACAAACAAAGTGTAGGTAAGAAAAACGTTTTATTTCTCTGTAGGGTCCTTTCCATAACTCTACCGTTCTCCCTCAATACTGAACCAATTTTTTTTTAAATATCCCCAAATTAGTCACTTAGACACAAAAACATGGGAAAATAGGGTCCAGGTTGAAAAATACTGAAGTTACACTTTAATTCACTATCTATCACCGAATGAGGTAGCACGATGGTGATTGAGCCTATGGTCCACTGAGGAAAACGCTTACATTTGCAGTATTACCAACTGGGTGTCTGTGGCAACATTGTGATGACCTCTCGAATGCACGATCCAATAACATGCCTGCAAGTACTGCTCATCGTCAAAGGTGGCACCAAAGACAATGGTACGGACCAGGATTGTAACTTTACGTATTATTTTACGTAAAAGGCCATATTTTTTAACACAGCGTCTCAAATGTAATTCAGAGTGCTGGGAACTTGCAATGGTCTTTTTTTTTTTTAACAGTACTTTCTGAGAGTTTGTAAACCACTTAATCAACAAGTAATTGAAAAGCAACTTGTTAACTGCATTCAGGTTTCACTCCTTGAACAGATGATATGACCTAAATGAACGCTACACTACATCCGATTGCCTCTCTTCAGTGCACTAGTCTGACACACAGATGTTCTGAAATCTTAAGTGAATACATTCGACCTACCACATGTGAGTGGATACAACCCGTAAGAAAAAGGTTCCAACAAGAGATGCCTGCTAGCAACAAACAAAGAGGTAAAAAGACAGAAATAACTGATGACTACCGGTGACTCGCTATGGGGTCTTGAAGCTTGTCACTAGACTTTATTCAAAGCTCAACAAAGTAACCTTAACACATTAAATATGGGCAATCAAAACAGAAGCTTGTAACCCTCAAAAGGTACCTGCATGTATTTAAAAACATTTTCTAAGTGGACAAATAGTGCATCCCTACTCTAACTGGGATCACTGACAATGAACTTTGGTCTTCTGTCCAGAGACAGCTGACACTGTAACGTTACAAAGTTCAGTTAGCCACTTTAGCACAATGTCACAGCTACTAAATCACGGCTGTATCATAATAATCTAGAACTGTAGCTTGCCAATGCATCGTATACAGCAAACGTAGGTGTCAGATATCTACAAAAACGCTCAGAGCTGTCACGTTAACCACGTATGCTGCAGACAGACTGATTGAATAGCTAATTTAGCTGCTTCAAATTATTGACAAATAACATGAGCTAACGTTAACTTACTCTAACAAAACAACTTGAGCAGAGTACATGGACGCGCTTCGTTTAGTCGAGAAGACATGGAAGGTCATAGATCAATACTTGCTCTGGCCTGGGAGCAGGCTGCTCTGGGTAAAGTTAAATTTCACTTAGACGTTAGCAAAAGCTAGCTAGTTAGCTGGCTGGCTAATTAACTGTGAGTGAGCTACTACAACATTATTGGTAGGCTAATGTGGCTAACTAGCCTGGAAGCTCACTGACAGCAAACCAAGGGAGGCTTTGCTAGCCAGTGCAAGATTAAGCGAGCCAGCAAAGCTCTGCTTATGTAGCACAAAGCTAACGAGTATACTTGTGTTACAGAAACTAAACTGTCAAACATTCCAAGTGATTAAAAACTAGAATTTAGTGAAATACTTACAAAGCAGCCTGGCAAACAACCTGCTGTGAGACATCTTCGGTCATTCACCAATGACACCAGAGGCTGAGGACCCGACACACTGATTATAGCTGACTATAAATATCCCCATCTGGATTATTAAATGAGCTTGAAAATATCTGCTTGTTTCATAATAAAGTCCAAGCTTTCAATTATCATTGGTAATTGCCTGCTGATGGATTTATCTATGAGTTTTTAATATGGGGTATAAAACAGACACAGGAATCGCATTTTTCTCCAGGCAAATTTGTTGGCTGCTTCAATTCACAATGCATTCTGGGTAGTCGAGTTCTTAACAGGGTACGTGAAACCTGCTAGCACTAGAGGTCGCTTCAACCACATGGATAATTTTAGTAGGTTAAATGTCACCTCGATTGCCATAAGCAAAAAAATGAAAATTTAGTTGAAAGTTTATTCTTGGTATTGACAACAGTTTTTAAGTCATTAAAAAACTGCAACGACCACTTATTTTATTGGAGTTTTCAACAGCCTGTTGTACATTTTAATGAAATATATTTAGTCATTAATTTTAAGATATTCCTTTTTTTGTAAATATGTTGTAGGAGTACTTACACCAGGCAGCATGTGATGGGTTCAAAAATGATTAACACACTCGACCATAGTTGTTGTAAATTATACTTTGTCTTGTTTAATTAAAATAATACTTGTCATGCCCTTTTCAATTATCTTTATATCAAAAATGAAATATGCAGTTTTACCGTAGAGATATAATGAAACACATCACGTAAATTTGGATACATTAAATGAGCCTATATGACAGATTAATTGAAGAGTAACTGTCACTTTGTATGTTACCTCCTCTTGTGATTAAGTTATTATTACATGTAATATTCGAGAGCTGTACAAGAGAAGAGGGTACTCTAGAGTTTGTCAGGAAATTATTTGGCCACATAAGCTGTATTTACAATTATTGAGTCAGTGTTTGATACTGTATTTACTGTAAATACTCTTTTATTTTGATGTGTTTTCATTTTGTGAGATTTTATTCCTAGTTTTTACTTCACTAAATGTATTCAATGGTAACTCATGTAGATTCAACTTTTACCAATACTTCTAGAATACAATGCATTGCCGTACCTACCAACAACATATATAACATGTTGAGCGATTATAACCTGAGTGATTTACAAAGTTACTTTTAAATGCACAGAGCTACATTTTGTTTGTAAATATTTGTTTAATGAATTGACTGTGAAGATGTGACCTGACCTTTACTTGTTATGGAAGCATTTTTCTATTAGGGTATTGCAAATTTGTGAAAATGTGAGAAGCCTGCTTCACTGCCCGTAAGTGAAATGGTAAAATGCATTTCTTTCTCAATTTATTCCGGAAATTCATGGAGTCCCAGGTCCTGTTTCTTAAGCTTAGCGTGGCTGGTTTGTCATCTCCTTGTTCCTGGAGGATATGTGACTTTAAATGATGGAGAGACTGCAGGCCCATTCAAAAGGACCACATTGAGTGAACTTATTGTTATCAGTCATGGAGGATAAAAGTGTCAGCTTAATAAATTGAACGATGAATAGATTAGATTATATTTTAACATATTTAGAGAGAGAGAGAGAGAGAGAGATATATATATAGATATATGTATAATTATATTACCATCTGATGTCACAAACAGATTTTTTCAAAGGTTGCTTTATTTATTAAACATTATCTACGTGTGTATAAAAACGAACTTCACGAGGAGCACTTGAAGTAGACAGAAACCACCTCATTCAAGCTGAATTCAAGTTGTCCAATCATGAGCCACCAAGTCCTCCAACGTTGATTGGTCACACACTCCAGCGTCACAGGTCGTCGTTACGTATATTCACTAACATTTCAACGCATAACTTCTCCGGACGTTTCCGTGTTTCAACCGGTGTGACGGTGTGAGTTTTACGTACCGGTGACAAGCTGCGCTCAGAAATGAACGCAGTGACACAAACGAGCCCCAGGAACTACTCAAGTCAAACACAAAACCTGCAACATTGAGCTTTTCAAGATGGGTTTAGAATCTGTGTCAAGGATAATAAAAGTCCAGCTCCCAGCCTACCTCAAGAAGCTTCCGCTTCCGGAGACGATCGGCGGATTTGCGAGGTTGACAGGTAATTAACTGCAGCTGTGTGTCAACTTCTGACTGTCAAGTGAAGAGGACTTCTCACCTCACTTTTTCAGGCACAGTGCAAACTTACTTTAGCTAACGCTAGCCTGCGCTGTAATTGGGACTGTCCTTCAACACGTCAACGAGGGCTGCTTTGGCTCCAGTAAAGCTCTTTTTCGTCGTTTAGTTTGTTCTGTTTTTGGAACCACGTAAACTCAGTAATGACGTTAAGTTGTAAAGCAATACTCGACACAATTAAGTTTGATTTTGTGGTTGAATGTTGATACACTTTAGTGTAGCATCTTTACAAGCTGCAACCTGTCCTCTGCTGTTTATCACAATATGTAACCAGTTCATACCATCAAAGGATGCACAGGTAGTCCTAGACTAGAAGGGAACATACAGACTACTTCAAGTTCATTGTTTGACAACTGTGACCTCATTCTCATGGTCCCTGCAGATGAGTACATGTTCATGTAATCACATTAGTTAAAGCAGAGTTGCATCCCTTAGCCGATGAATCTACTAATGATTTAACCTTTAATGGTTCCAGCCTCTCCAATGTGAGAACTTGCTGCTTTATTCTTAAATCACATTATAGTAGATTTACCAACCTGGCATGTCTCTTTGGGCGTGGACTGTTTTCTGGTGTTTTCACAGATGAAATGATTAATCAAATATATAAAAATAATAATAATGAATAATCATTAGTTGCTCTTCTAAACTGAAGCAAGGCAAACTTTGATATTCTTTTGAAACTGTGTTCTCAGAAAGCCTCTACTGGACAACATCGTGAGCTGTTGGTTATTTGCAACTCGTTAACGAGACTGAATCATACTCTGAAGAACAAATGTGCTCCGCTTCTAGTTAAGCGCAGGTGTGCAGTTTAAATGAAGGAAGTAAAGAATAGTGGTTAAGAAAACCTAAGTGAAAGTCCATCTTGAAGCAGATTTTCCACTTCAACTTGACCTTACAGCCAACACAGATCTGTGCAAAGTATCACATTTAGCCTAAAAATAGCCCCAAAATGTATAGAAAAGCCGAGCTAGCCCTGCGTTGCTGAAATGCTCCATGTGACAATTGACAAGCGACAACCATTTGAGTAGCAAAAACACAGATGAAATGCAACAGATGGAAGATTTCAGTGATTGAGTTAATTAGTACTAATTGATTAGGCTTGTGAAAGTCTTATACAAGTCACATGTTGTAGAAAGTTAGATTTTCTTAAATGTAAAATAAAGCAGGTCTAGGTGCTGTATAAATACTGTGAACGCATCAAAATGCTCAATCCAAATCATCCAGAGATATGCACATAGGTCGTATTCAGACACTGTGCCTTTTAAATCGAGCCGTCAGGGTCCACACTACCATACTAAATATAATAATCCATATTCCATACTAAATATAATAACCCATACTAACATACTATATAGAATGCCAGAAAAAAAGATTCAGTATGTCCCAATGCATTATATGTCAAATGCAGTATGCCAAAAAATACCAGGATGTTCTACTACATTGGTCGCACTTTGCAGTATGCAAGCCAGCATGCACCAGTAAGTACTTCTATCAGAGCAGCCGCTGTACTAAAAGTAAAAAGAGAACGTATGCGGTGATTTGGAACGCAGCTAGTGAGTCATTAATCTTGAAATCATGTTCTAGTAGAAACCAAAAATACATGTATGAACCTGAAAATGAGCCTGATATGTCTGCTTTGATTTACGATGTTTCCAGATGTTAAAACTTGTCTCTGAAGTTGTGTTTTGTGTCAAAAATGAGTTTAGTCAACCAGTGCAGATTAGAAGATGTGCGACTCATCAAGCGCTCCTACATGTGATATATAATTCCTTAAAGAGATTAAGGATTAGTGACGTCCCATTAGGCATCAAATCCTTTTACGGAAAGTATTTTAATTGCCATAAGAGTATTATGAAAAGTTTCAGGAGGTGGGGTGTAACTCATCGCTAACAGCAAAATGACATAACTGTGCTTAATCCTCACTTCATTTGTCCGTCCTCTCCATGTGGACTGTACAAAGGGTTTCCACAAATACACAACAAAATAGTTGGTGATTAAATTATGTCAGGTGACAAGTTGATTAATCAACTGATCGTTTCTGCCCTGAATTGAGGCGTCGGGTCTTTAGAGCTTCTGTCCCCTCAACAGCATTTCAACCTGAAGCAAACGCTGGTTTCAGTTTATATTGTAGTCCCACAAGGTGTGCCAGTGTCCACACTGTAGTTCTTGTTTGCTCAGATGTCTGTGGTGTGTCTGTAGTGTCCGAGTGGCTCCGGTTGCTGCCTCTCCTGGGTATCCTGGCTCTGCTGGGCTATCTGACCATTCGCCCGTTCATGCCTAAGAAGAAGAAGCAGAAAGACAGTCTGATCAACCTGAAGATCCAGAAAGAGAACCCGAAAGTGGTCAACGAGATAGACATCGAGGACCTGAAGAGCCCAAGGGTGTGTTACTGTCGCTGTTGGCGCTCCAAAACGGTAAGTTGTACCTCTTCTCTATGCATGGGGATATCCCCGTTCATGGTAACGGTACACTGGCAGTCATTTTTCATTTGCTACATATCTGATCAATAAGTTGTACTTTTATTACTGAACCCAGTCATTTATAAATGTAGGCATTTCTTTTTACAGTCAGGATAAGAAGGAGCTCAATGTGTCTGAATCGTGCCTATCAGCTAATATTAGGTTGTTCCCTGTTCTAGTTTCCTGTGTGTGACATGTCGCACTTAAAGCACAACGAGCTAACTGGAGACAACGTGGGACCGCTCATACTCAAGAAGAAGATGATACTATAATTGGCCGCTGATGGGAGTTTTCCTCTCACCTCCCCAGTCTTTGGTTTTCATAGTTAACAGCTAGTTTTCTGTCTTTTGTTGTTTTTTTAACAAAAGTCTTGGTCTTGGCTTGGTGTTGTGTTTAAGTTGCTCATAAATGGGGATGACCAGAGTCTTTACTTGAAGTGGTCCTAAAACACCTACAAATATAAAATTCCAGTTGTATTGTGTGAAAACGGTATTGTAGGTTCTGTAATGATATCAAGCAGCAAGGAAACTTTTTTTTCCGTTTCTTTTTGGGGCCTTTGTTCATGGTTTACTTTCACTTTAACAGGGCAGCCTTTTTATATGACCAAGTTAAACTGTAGTCATGTCTCACTCTTTTTGGAATCAATTACAAATCGGGACCACTTTGAGAGGAAAGCTTGAAACATAAATGCGATGATCTTATGACTTTAAATATTCTGAACCCATCAGAGTATTATTTTTTTTTTTTTTTTTGGGTTGTTTAAAATGAAATACTTGATAGTAGTCCAACCCATAACCAACATTTTGTACTGTAAGTCTTCATTTTGGACGATTCTTAGGTTTGATTTTGTCTGTGTGCCAAATATCAACATGCTGTTCACTTTCAGGGTGTGATTTATTCTCTACTAAGTTATTGTGTTTATGGGAAATGGTCAAATATTTATTTGTTCATAGCCTTTAAACATTTGAGTTCTCAATTTTGTTTTCAATTCTGTTGCCTCCAAACATTTCAAACCACTACACCGTTTAGTAATATCCAGTCGTACAGTTTCAACCTCAGTACGGTGTTGAGGTTTCACAAAGTAACTTCTGCAGCATCAGACTTTAGCTCTGTACCGTTTCTTCTCTTCTTGCTTCTGTATTGTCACAATGGCTGTGCATCGTCGACGACCTGCTGGAATGTTCCTCCTCGATTCATCAGCATTATTTTATACATGAACAGCTTGTATCGTCAGATCTGTACTTCCACAATGATGCCTATGAATGTCTGTCTTTGTGAACTTTTGTAAGTTGATGGCTTGCATCGACTACTCTGTTTAATTTGTAAAAAGCAACAGTCGGGATGTTAAACTCAGTTTTTGGCAAACGGAACTGTAGCTTCATTCTCTTCTTTCAATATTACGACTGGGTAACATTTTGACACCTTGAGCTGAAATCATTTGAAATGAGTGATGAGGTAACAGTACTAATCACGATCTAATCGTCTACTCATTTGTTCAGGGTCATATTTCTGCAGGAGTGTCAATCGTTACCACACATGTGAAGTTCATGGTGGTGATGGAGACAACCTAAGTCAGTGGGATTGTTCCTCTGGACAGTGTGGATATCTGTGCCACATTTCATGACAATCTACTCCATTGTGGTTTAGAGATTTCAGTCTGGACCAACAGACATCCCTAGACCCAGGCTGCTAGCGCGGGTAGAAAGCAAACAGATTGGAAGCCCAAACTTAAGGGACAGTGACTTAAATTAAGGACATAATAAAGCACACATTAAGTTGAACTGTACAAATATTTTGCATAGTAAGAATTTAACCTATTTTGTCACTACACAACTTAAATTGTATTCAAAATGCAAAAGAACAGATCTTGGTATATTTCATCATTTATTGTTTAAAGAATATTTGGTAAAAAACTAATGCTCAATTCTGTTTTATCATAGTCAATACTAATACACAATGAGGCAATGTAAATAAATTCAAACAAAGTTACACTGCATACTTCTGTAAAAAAAAAAAAGTCAAATGTAGCGAATGTGAAAAATCAACTTCCCCTTACAATCAACAGTTGGTGTACATGAATGTTTTGAATATAATCAGTCGACATGGTGATTGTAGCAGATTTCGGTAGATTTAGCAGCACTGTGTAAACCAAAGGAAAGTGGTGTGAATTATTTTTCTCCTGAGTATTTGTTAACTACATAAACCCTTCATCACCAAGACGCAGCTAATACACATTTAATTAAAACAAATACACAAATCTGTACAAACATCTTACCGAGTACTGAACAACTAAAGACTTGTGTCAACTTTGTGGTCTAATTTAAAACAATAAAATATTGCTACCGTCGGTGCATTCAAAGGTGCAGCCTTTCAAAGGAAACAGCGTCTAGTACAAAAACATCATTACTACCTGTTCAAGTCCAAATACAGTAAAGAGTTAACGGAGACGTCATAAAAATGGGCAAAAAGGTGGATTCACTGAATATAATGGGCAGGAGAAAATATCCACCTTTACAAAAATGTAAAACATTCATACCTCACACTAATATAGCTGATTCAAAGTAAATTTGGGACCAAAAGCGCCTCTTGCATACTGTCATACAGCGTGACCGTGTGGGTCATTTGTTTGGAGCCCGAGGCCTGGAAAGCACCACAGGCTATAAATATAGAGTGATTCATGTGTTCCTGCAGCACGCCAAACATCAGGAGCTGACCGGCAGATAGAGAGACTGAAGGGGCCACTCGGTGGCTGAAGGAAAGCGCAGATATCCCAAGTGTGTAAACACCTCGGAAGTCTCTTTGAATGTCCTCGCTTACTAGACGAAGACAGGTGATGTCAGAGTGTGCTCTCATAGGTGACGGGAGTTTCATTGTCCTCGTCGTCTCCTGTTGGAGTACCTAGGAAAGATGGAGAGGAGACAGAGGGAGGAAAAAGTCATGAGAAATGCTTTGGTTAAGGCCCGATGACATGCTAGTCAGATTCAGTAGGAAACAAACAATGGTGTGCAACCTTGAGTTGCACTTTTGCACCATGTACTAAACTACAATGGAAACAATGCCGGTGTTGTGTGAATGTAAAAGACTTGAGGGCATGACTGACGGGGTAAACAGAAGCAACCTATAACTATGCAAATCCATTTCTGAGTGGATGCATCTATCACAAAGGTGAGGAAGGGAAAAGCATATTCACTATTTAAACACAGCGACGGGGGGGGGGGGGTGTTGAGCTGAGTTAAAATGTTGAATGTAGGACTTTACCTACCTAAGAAAACGGCTGATAAATTTTGTTTGACTCGCTCACCACAGGCAGAGTTCTTTGGTTTCTGTAAGAGGCGAGGTCCAGCGAGCCCTATGATGAGAGCTCCTACAGGCGCTGTGAGGAGGATGGCCAGCACAGCCACAGTCAGCACTTTCATGCTGTACTTCTGCAGCTCCTTGTCCCCCTTCGCCCTGGCCATGTCTAAAGCTGTGGAGCCTATCGCTGCCTGATGAGGAAAAGGACACGAGGGTTTATTCTTTACTCACTCGCAATGATAGGATAGTAAGAAAAACATTTGAGTGTGCGTATTTTTATGTACACCCAAAATGATTTACTGTAAAAATCCTAAACGGAGCAGAGCGTCTATTTCTCAGGAACATGAGTGTACCGCTGACATACCTGCACTGTGGCTTTGGGCATCCACGCTAGGGCTATGAACACTTTCTCCCGCATGTTAAAGCCCGCACACAACACACACACAAAGGTGAACAGTAATCGAACCAGCAGGGCAATGAGCAGCGTGGCTATACCCAGACCTAAAACACACAGTCATACAGAGGTGTTACACTATATTGGTTATACTGCGATACAAAAAAACAATTGCTACATCACCAGCACTTCCCCTTAACTGCTGTGGGCAAGGAGGGGCTGAATGTACTCATACAGCTACCGCATGTGCTCTTACACCGCAGACTCATTTTATAGTGTAAAATACAAGGAAATAAAACTAAGAGTGTGGAGGAGATATGCGTGTGGCCTTTGTTTGTAATATAACAAAAAAGAATTGTAAATATAGATGGCCATCATTTTGAAGCACGACAATAGTACCTGTTAAGAGTACAGTAACAGAAAATAAACACTGTTAAACTTGTTAAAGATATTATATTACATTTACAATATTGTCAGAACAGTAAGAGTTTTATTGTCATAAATTGGACAGTACAGCAATTTAGAGTCAGTGTTGTGGTCAGCTGCTACTTGCAGAACATCAAAATATATTTTATGTACTTGAATACTTGCTTGAATAAGATTGATTTTTTTGGGGAGAAATTTCCCAGGAAACTCATATGAGAATGTCTATCGAAGTACACAGTGCATGAGTGCAAATGCAGAATCAGGTTTTTGTATTTACTGGACACATAGAGAGCTTAAATCTCCTGGGGCCTCTTTTTGCCTATGGAAATATACTCGATTTACATCCATACCACATTTGAATCTCTCACAGTAAAAGCAGTCACCTGAATTTGTTATTTTGTGTGCGTGTGTGTGTGGTCGTTTTACCAACTGTGAGTCCCTCCAACTCAGAGACTCGAATTTCTGCTCCTATAAGTCCGAAGAGTAGCGGCTGAAACACGTCCCACGCCCACCCCACCACTTCCTCCACACGGGCCTTTAGACAGACAGAACACAGACATTTTTTAGGAAGATTATATCTGTGACATGCAGTAGTGTAGACAATGAAGGACTTACTGTACAACCCAGTAGGTTGTTCAAAAGTATATGCTTGATAAATTCAATAATTGTGAAATATACCGTACTTCTCTTGCCAAAAGCTCTAAAAAGGTGGATTATTGTGAGCAGAGAGCTGACAAATATTATCTATGTACTACATGTATGGCATTGCATACGCTGTTACCTTTTCTGACCCCCAGCCGAGTCCAGCCAGGAAGGCCAACACCAGGGTGCAGAGGCCTCCGGAGCCGGGAAAGCCGGCCACACTGCTGCCGAACACGGCGAAGACGGACAGACCCAGCACCAAGAAGGATCGCTTTATGACCAAGTGTTTCTACGTGAAAAAGACAGTCAATAATTTAATATAGAACACTGTAATATACCTAAATCTATAAATACAGAATGCCCTATGTAACACTTGTAAGGTGTCGGCAGATACTAGGCCTAGGTAGTTCATGATGTTTTATACCAGTGTTTTATCTCAAAATGTAGTTTACGTGTATTTAACAAACACGGATTAAACAGAAGTCTGACAGGCTATTAAAACACATTGATGGAGTTGAGATAGTGAAGTCATTTCTGTTATATAAGGAAATCTGTGACCCACAAAAACATCTCCTCCAATGTTATCCCTGAATACTTCCCCACTTAGATGAATCCAAAGTGCTCTCATCAAAAGTCTTAAATGTTTATCATTTTAAGTGGAACACTTCACTGATTTTTCTAACTAGCCTTTGTTGGCTCTTCCCAAGATGTTTCGCACACAGAATGTGGTGTCAAGTGGTGTCAGGATGACTGAGCAATATAGTAATGCTGCAAGAGCATGCCTACCTGGTCAACACTAGGAAAGTACTGGATGAGGAAGCCAAGAACAATCCCAACAATGGTCCCACCGCCCACCTCCAGTACACCTCTCAGGAGGTTGAACCAAGTGGAGCCTAAAAGGATCAGCAGAAAAAAAATTGACAATAGAATAAACTGAGCTGATAGCCCTAAAAGTGTGTAGACAATTACCATTCATGACAATAGCAGGGTAATCATTGATGGTGTTATGTTGTGTTGTTTAGTATAGCCCCATAGAGGCTCTACACTGTGCTAAACTGGAGTAATGACACACAAAATGCACTGTGACTCGGCAGAAAAAACCTTTTTAATGAGAGTAAGCGGCCCACTTACACCCTCTGCTGAGCTCCTGACAAACTACAGATAGAAGTTACTTACTCCGTATACTTTTCCGTGCTGACCTGCACTGAACTGTCTGCCACTCCCCTGGAGGTAAAGGTGGTGTTTTCAAGTCAGAACTTCTTCCCTTTCACTTCTAAAACACACGCAAACACAAACAGCCACTGGTTTACCTGTGGCGAAGGCCATGCCCAAGCATGTGGTGAACCCTGTGATGGCAAGAACGTCGTCAAAGCTGCCCGCAGCCATCAGCAGGGTGGGGATGCCCTGCTCCACTCCGTAGCCGTCCTTCTGCAGCAGCAGCATGGAGGGCACCACCACTGCTGGGGACACAGCACCCAACACAAAGCTGCAGTTTGGAGGAGATGAAAACAGAGACAAGAATTGCCTTTGATACAGTTAGGAAAGCATTAGTGTTACGTTACGCTAGTGTTAATTAGCCTTTAAATATGCTTGGAGACATGCAAAAGGGAGGAATTCCTGCAGCACGACGTGGGGTTTGTACTGCAGATGAGATGTGATCGCAATGATTTTGATTATCTCATGATAATCATTTGGCTGGGCTTGAAATACAGATGGAATTTTAGAATTCAGAAATTTCCAATCATCATAATTAAAATTGTGCTAACAATCTTTAAACAAAGAATGAACAGAAAATGTCAGCCCTCTGAAAAGTACAAACATATTTGCATCAGCCCCCATCCACTGATAACATCTGTGTCAAAAACCTGATGTTGCACATTCCATTCCACCTACCGACGTCACACGAATGCTGACAAGGCACAAATATGACGGCACTTATTGTGGAGTGTTAAATGAGCAAAAAAATCCAAATCACTAGAATCATTTTGTTGTCAAAAGTCAATACATTTTTCTCATCTCTTAACCCTGTTAGACAACAAGTGATCGAGAGGATAAGAGGCTGTAATATGATCTGGTGACTGTTGGAGAGCAGTTTTCTATTGTCTGCTTCGTGGGAACATGTTTCTTGTTCATACAGTATGTTGTTCAGAAGAGAGGAGAGGAAAGTCAAAAGCACAGGATGCTTATTTCAGCATTTATCTGTGAGATCATTTATATACAATTTTACAAATACATCCTATAGATTGTTTATAGAAGCTTATCAGTGTGTCTTCTTGCCAGAGTTGCTAACGCAAGATGCAGAATCCATCACTGAAGATCAGGAGTTAGACACAGACCTCCGTGCTGCATTCTGTGAGAGCAACCCGATTGGTTTACATGGGCGCCAAAAGCATGCGGTCAGCGCTTCTCAGAAAACCGTGGCGGTCATGGTGCTTTCGCCCCCAGTGTGAAACCGGCTTCAGTCTAACTTATCCATGTCCTCTCCATTCAGTAACTGAATGTAATAAACAGCTGAGACGTCTGCTCATACAGCAAATAAATTGTCAATTAAAAATGATTGATTGTATTTCAATTTGACACAAAAACGAGACCAAGTCAAGTCAAAATCAGTCTCCTTTCTTTCTCCCTACATGTCGTATCTGTATCCTCACGGCCACATTTAATAAAAAGAAGAAATTGCAAAAAAATGATGTTGAAGTTTATATAATGAATATATTTCTTACTGGTTCATGAAAAAAAAGAAATATATTCTTTAAAGGGAACTGTGCCTGTCTGCCTGTCCAAGACATACTGTAAGTAGAAAATGAAGAGTGGAGATGGAGTGGGAGAGTAAGTAGTGTTCTATTTACCCGAGTATGAAGCCCCACACCCAGGGCAAGTCCATGAGGAAGTGAGAGATCAGGGCTGTGGTGCAAGCCTCTATAATGCAGGGCCCAGCAGCCACGCGTAAACACACGGATTTCAGTTTCCTCAGAGCCTGACGACAGACACACACATCATTACAGAGTCACAGTCATCAATTCACTTTTATACAGCGAGAGGATTTTCGTGTAGTCATTACTTGGCTGGAACATCTGGACATTCTCTTGATAACACTGCTGTATAACCTAGTAACATCTTCTACAAGGCTCAGATGTGCTTGTTTTTCCCCTCATATGTCACTGGAAATTCAATACTTTTGATTGCTAACATTCCTGTGATTCGATAGTGGAGTATGTAGCGTACTGTGGGATCCAACCCCAGACCAGCTCTGGCCAGAATGACAGCCAGAGCGATGTTCCTCAGTGACGCAGACCATCTGAAGTCAATGTACACCGCCTGTGTTATGACTGGGATGTTTCTCAGCATGAAACCCATCAGGAGCATACCTGCAACACAGCAGAGGGAGCGAGAGAGGGACAGATGATCCTTTGTTTGAACTTACACTGCTCATGTTGGACACCTGAGACACTGAGACCCACTGTAGGACTGCGATTGCTGTTTTAGAACACGAATAACTTGAGTTTCAACAATATCCAAACCTTCTCTAAAAAGTCACCTGCCAAGTTACAAAACATTATGGAGACTAGTGCAAATTGTGCTGAGTTTAAGAACTTTATGATAAATAAATCAATGATAAATGGGTTCTCAAAGGAGTTTTTAAATTAAATCAAAGAACAACGATGAACTGCAACAGGGAAATAATACATAAAGAACATATCTAACACTGTTAATGAGTGGGGAGAGAAGACTTCGGTGTCACCACAACCTTTTACTATTGTTATCAGCAACAGACACTGAACTGGTAGACAAGAATACTCTTTGAGGGGAAAACCACACAGGGAGATGAAGTTTATAGAGAAACAACCACGCTGTACTTCCATCTACCGTGGGCTATACGATAACAAAATACCAGCAAAATACTAAAAGTGACAAACAGAATTCAAACCAACAGCAGCTAATGTGTACTTAACCAAGGACGGAACAAGTGAGTAACATGGTTGCTCAGATAATCAAGAACTCTGGTTCGACCTCGTGTTCTTTTTTAAATCAATGACAAAGGTGAAATGACTCAGTCTGTAGATTACTTTGTTACAAGTCACCAAATAAATACGTCCGTGGCTGCTAATGTGCAATACACCTGTAGTTAATTCATAAACAGAGAATATCTTGCAGCATTTACGCTACAACATTAATATTTGCTTGTAAATCGAATGCTTTTCAAAGACATTTTAGTTTAGATTAAGTGCTTCAACTGTGATTCATAAAACTCAGATTTGAGTCTCATTTGAAAAGCAGTTGTTAAAATCAACTATCGCTCTAATACTGCTTATTTATACAATTCTTTGTACTGTACATTTGGAATACTTTGTGTACTGATCAATCTGCTCCAACGGTAGAACTATAGTGGTAAATAATGATTCCACGGGTGAGCCTTTGTGTCATCTGGCTAATTGTTCTGAACAAATATATGACGGGCATTAAGCAGTTTTAACACCGACCCTGAAAGATGGTGTATTGTCTGTGTAACCAAAATAAAAGAAAGGCTTGTACAGACACACCTGCGCATCAGCCTTACCAAGGAGAGGTGGGAACGGTGGAAGTTTGGGCAAACGGATGAGAGCCACCACTTTGCCACCGATGATTGCACAGATGAAGAGGATTGTGATGCCGAACAGGTTTCCCCCTGGAAGACACTCATTCTCGGTGATGGACCACACCGCGCCAAAGAGCACAGCTGCCAGAAAGACTGGAGAGGACACAGGGGACTGACATTAGACTACTGTGTCATGTCAGAAGTCACTATAGGCATTGTTATTACCCTCTAAAACTTCTTCATTTAAGTCATTTAATAAATACTACCAGTTTGTTGATGACTGACTGACTGCCTGCCTGCCTGCCTTTCTCTGTGACTGCGTTTTGTAATGTGAACATAAAATAAAATAGTATGTGTATATGTATTTATTTATCGACAACATTGCTCAATTTTAGTAGTTCAAATTATACAAGATATTCATATCGGCAGTTTTTACAGTCTAGTGTGAAAGAAGGGATTGGCCTGCAGTAGATGTCCTGGGCAAGAACTCACTGAGCCAACGTGAGACCTCACTTGCTTTACCTTTGGTAATAAGAGAGGCCAGCAGGCCTCTTGGTGGACATGGGCAAAATCGGTGGAGCAAGGGGCAGCAGACCAGCGGCGGGTCTGTGTTAGTGCCAGCATCCACCACTGGGTTCCGAGGAATAAAATAGGTGGTCTCCTCTGTGACATTTGGACTGGAGCAGCGCCGTACCACCACCTGGATCTGGTTCACAGTCAGGTGCTGCAGGAGGAGGATCAGAACACGCACAAGGTCAATGTTTGCCCGGTGGACATAATGTTTTGTTCGATGCCTTAACACCACATCTGGAGACGCAACACACGATAAAAGAGATATTTGGCTGAACAACCTCAATATTTTATAACTGTAACTAAACTCATGACTTCACCAGCTGGATTAATATGCAGATTAGTGTAAGAAAATGCCTTAAAAATGCCTATTCACAGCAATATTAAATGCAGTACATTTCTATCAATATCCAGGCATTACACAAGTAGCTGAGCAGTCAACATTAATGGGATGTCTTACGCAAAGCACCAGATTAAAAGGTGTCACTTTGACACAAATATGAATGCATTTCTTATGGAAAGATTAGAAAATGGTAGACGTCCCTGGAGCCGTTTTAATAGCCGAACCCTTATTTAGTATCGTGCCCTATCTGTAGCATACCAGCAGATTACAGGCTACAGGCTGCTTCTTGGCAAATAATACGGTGAAGATATGAATTTGCTGATAAATGTGACTCCCAGAACACCCTCATTATCATACTGTCATGGTACATTAACTCATAGTTTTGACTTTTACAATTACAGCAATAAATGATGAACAAATTATCTCAGGCGAATAACTAATTACAAGGTTATAAAGCAGAATATTAAAACATAGAAGTAAATCAACACAGCGGACGAAAGAAGCAGAGCCACATCATTTATATGTTGCCTAAAATATCTTATTTAGTGAATATAAAAAAAACACAAAGGCTATGTCATTTTCCTATCAACAAACAATACATTATATCAGTCTTATAAACACATTATCAGTTTTGTTACAATATAAGAAGGTTACACCAGAGAACAGTTGTTAGTAAAAATACTATACCTCCACATTGTTTGCTGCAGGCACAGCAATTATGTCCCGCAGTGGGCTGGGTACTGGACTGGGAACTGGACTGGGTGCCGGATTGGGTACAAGGATGGGCTCCGGGGTAGCAGGTTTGGGCTGAGTGTCCTCCATGACAGATTTTCTGGTCCTCTCACTTCTCTCTCTCACAGCACATCCAGCAGAGGGGTTGGGTTGGCCATTGATGGGCAGTTCCTTCACTTCTGCTTCTGGATGTCCAGCTCTGACTGCAGGCTCCTATTCACAGCACATGGTTTGATCAGGAGAGAAAACAAATGTTTGTTTAACAAAGGTGTTGGTACAGGTGTAGAATATTGCATGGCCTGTTTTTCCAACCATACAGGCGTTACTGTTAAGATGTCAATTTTTCAAATAGTTATATTTAGTGTAATGTGGGGGGGAATTAACAAGGTTTCAAGCCACACGATTCCTTTCTAAATGATAATTTGTGAGCCAGATATAGCTGCACGCTGGATACCTCGTGCTGTGTTCACTTAACCTGTACCTCATTACAATGGACAAATACTGAACTCTTAATAGCATTAGATCAGGTTATATATACCAATATACATTAAACTAACACTACTACAATATGCAGTTGCTTATGCCAACAGACGTTAGCTAATCCACTTGTGAACAGCGCACACTAATCAATGCGTACAGCTCCACCATATGGCTCATCTAGCTCGTGGATGTGGGGGCAAAGTAGGTTAGGGTTATCTTGGCAAATGTCAACAACAGAGCTACCGGTAGCCATCTGATGCTAGCTAGCCACCAAAGGTTGTGTTGTCCTTGCGTTTGGGTCAGTGTACTGCTGGAGAGGCGTACACTTACGGAACCACAGTTCGTGAAAGGGGTAACGTTAGTGGAGACGTTAAATCCAACGCCTCACGTTGAACCCACGGACACGGACGTTCTTTCTCAGCAGCGGCAGCTAACCAACGCTTACTACCGATTCTCTCATGTTCACTCATTTAACAATATTACCCCATCGTTTCACTGACAGCATAGACACGTTAGGTGGGAGATAGCGTCGGAACTTCGCGATGTAACGTTATACACGGTCTTCAGGCTGATTTGCTGTCAGCTGGCTTTAGGTAGCGGTAGCTATCGTTAACTCCCCCTAAAACGTAACGTGCACTAACGTTAAACTATTTCAGCATCAAGTTTAACTTGCCACCGTCAACGTGTGGATAACAGTTCGACTTGCTGCTGTGACACGTGTTTAATTATCGATATTCGAGAGGGAAGCCTTGTCCGATATTGGATTCCTCGTCAGTAGCCGACTGAGTGCTTCCGTCCACCAGCTGTCAGTGAGCTCTCCACACCATCTCCACACGCACGGTAGCTAAGCTAGAGAGACCCTAATATATAACGTTAACTACATTAAAAGGGGAAAAAACATCTCACCTCATATGGTAATAGTCATCGCGTGTTAACCTTCAGTGTGCAGCGTTCCTGGCAGTCATGAGGCAGATGGAGCAGCTGGGAATTGGGAATGAGGCGGATTAGTGATGGCCAAGTACCGTTAAGTAAGTACCGCGCCCAGGAGTGCCTCGTTGGGGGGGGGGGGGGGGGGGGGGGGGGGAGTTGGGTCACATAGTAAAGCCACTCAAGGGTGTTTGTGAAGAAGACGTTTTGATATATGTTTATTAAACATATTTCAATATTAATCACATTACCAGATACCAAATATTTAATAATAGATGTATTTATAATAAGGTGATGACACCAGTACACTGCAGCTGTGATTAAGTCAATGTATTACAATTTCATATTAATAATATTAATATTTTGGCATTGCATAGATTTTGGCATTGATTTGAATTTGAACATGGGGGGTCCCCCCTACAGAATCATAAACATAATATGCTAAATAAAATAAAAAAATGATCAAGTCATTCTTGGTGCACTTTATTTGGGCTTAAAAAAAGCTTGAGCTTGAAACAGTTTCTTCAGAGTCTCCATCCTCCATCTATGATTTGCTCCGTCCCGGTCACATAGGCAGACTGTGAAGGAGCCGAGAAACACGTTATTCTTTCACATTTTTAGAATAAATACAAAGTGCCTTGACCACCATGTAGCTACGGTCCTGCAAGCTCTGCCTGACTAGTGATGTAATGTGCAACATATATACATGAATGACTTGGGTGCATTATCTGCAAGCACTCACCTCATTGGAGGCCAGGTACACGCACAGGTACGCCACCTCTTCGGCTGTGCACATTCTGCCAGTTTTCTGTCGTGCCATGAAATCCTTATAAGCCTGAGGAGTTACACACAGAGAGAGAAAGAGAGAGAGAGAGAGGAGTTACAGTTGAAGCATTTACTATCTCCAATGGATACCAAGATAAGATGTACCCATTAAATGACCCATGCAGGCATTACTGTCATTTTAAGATTGGAGAAAATGCCAGTAAAAGCCTTCCATACCTGTTCTGGGTCAGGTTGGGCCTGGATCCTACCCCTCAATGATGGAGTATCAACAGTACCTGAGAAGATATAGAGAAACCCTGAATTTCTTCTAAAACCTTCACTAATACAACACTAATGAATACAGAAATATAGATACCCTTTGACTAATTAAATGATTATGATAACTAAATAGGTATGATTGGGATCAGTTCAGGTCAATAAAAGCCTGAAGAGTTCAGACTGGCTTTGAAGGGGCAAACTCAAGGCTTGCATATCTTTGAAATGCACAATGTCCCCTTAAATCTTTCTAAAAACAACAGTTTTGATGACAATTTGTTTTCAAGGATGTCTGCAATACATTGTTATCTATTAAAGTGCCAGCAACCTTGAGTAATACGTGATGAAGAATCAAAGGACACGTGGTTTTGTTTTTGCAGATCGCTCTAAACTTACCAGGACAGACACAATTACAGCGAATGCCTTGATCAATGAAATCAGCCGCTATAGATTTGGTGAGCCCAATCACAGCAGCCTTGGAGGTACTATAGACACACCGGTTCACAACACCTGCGTCGAAGAAACACATAATGTCACTCGCACAAAGTCACACACGGAGAGTAATTATCTGAGTTAAGAGGATTACAATGAACATGGTCATACTTCAACAACTCAATGTCCCTTCAATTGGGCAGAATATGTAGTAATATGCAGAAGTTTATTTACCTTTAATGCTTGATGCAACAGATGCCATGTTGATAATGTTTCCTGACTTCTCTGCCAACATCTAGAATGACAAAATAAATGCGGAAGGTGGCATATCAACAGCATGTAATTGGTAAAAATAGTGCAACGGACTTCAGTTTTCATTTTTATGTAACGGATAAATGAGAATCGCCACAGGATTCAAGCTAAAACTCCCCATTGAGACAGTTTTGTTAGTTTGCGGCTAAAGCTGGATTAGTGATTTGGCAGTCGCCGCCCATCATGCCACAGGCTCAAGTGTAATACAGCTAATCCCAGCGGACAAAAGGATGAGAACAAATTAAAAGCATATGTCGCTCAATTTACAACAGCACCTATTCCATTCTCTCGACAAGAGGAGGAACAGGGTTAAGCGTCTGGTAAAGTGGGTCACCTTCGGTAGGAAAGCCTTGCTCATGAGGTACATGCTCCGAACGTTCACGTTCATCGTAGAGTCCCAGTCAGCCTCTTCACAGTCCAAGATGGAGCCGTGGTGCACAAACCTGTAGACAGTAGAAGACATGTAAACTGTAAATAAATGCTGGTCCAAATGCTGCGTTGACCCCCTCAACATTTTACTGAGCCTCATGAGGTGTCACTTTAGAGACCTTTGTTAAGGAGATTGACAAAAGGTCAAGTAGAGGTTAAACCTTAAGGTGTAGGGATTTTGGAAATGTAGTTAAGCAGGGGTTGGATAAATGTGCTCAATACTTTCTCAATACTCAATACTTTCTGACATCTCCTTCTTTTAAACAAATGGTGCTGAATATAAACGTCACGTTTAAAAACCAAAAAAAGTAATCATCTAAAACGGTGTTTCCAAACCGTTTAACCCACTTCTTAGAAATGACAAACCACCGCGACCCAATTCACAATAGGTCCTAAAAATAGCGAGAAGAGCAAATTTGTGAGTGTATGAATGTTCCTCACAAGTTTTATGCCATTTCTGCATCACCTTATGTTATTTTTAATAGGTAAACCAGCCTTTCCAAAAGAGAAATACGTTTGATAAATCACAACTTGTGTTACTAAAAACATATAAATACTTTATAAAATGCACTTAGGCGGAGCTAACGGGCTCTCGTTTATTTCCTCTGATCAGTTAAACCAACAGGATGTACGCTAACCTTTCATATTAGATTCAATGTTTCAAGTAGGTTACAATTATCAGAAAATACGAACATTCAGGCTCCCCCCTGTGGCTCAAAGGTGTACTGCAGATATAAATGTTACATAACATTTTGAGAAATTCTGCAGATTTATTTGGCGGCCCGCATAAAATCTTGTGCAACCCACCTGTGGCTCCTCATCCAGTCTCAAACCACTTGTAGTTTATAGCAACTATCACTTAAACAGGAGCAAATAGAGAATAATTTGTTATAGAGTATTTGGTGTGCTAACCAATATTTACAAAACAAACTTCATCAACGATTTGAATGTGTAATGAAGGAACATGGCATCCAGTGCAACAGTGTGGCTCATTGATTCATGAGGTTTTCTGACAAAATAAAATAGAATATCACCTGATTTAATGCATTAAGCAGAGTATGTCAGTCTTACTACTCAGTTATTCAGCACCTCATACAGAACAGAGGGAAAACGTACCCAGCAACATTGAACAGCACATCCACACGGTCATGTTCCTTGGCTAGGGCTTCAACTTGGTCCTTCTTAGTTACATCCACCACCTTAGTCTTGATCCCTGTAGGTGAAGAGAGAAAGAGCGCTTTGGTTTGTTGTAACATTATGATAGATTATTATCTAATATATTGGTAATGATATGATAGGGACAGCATGGTTTGGCAGTGATCAGTCCACTGTTCACTGACTTATTGTAGATAATTAGGAGAGTATCAATGTATTGTGGAGATCAGTGGGCAGTAATTGACTCATACAGTATAACTTAACTGTGTGACGACCCTCTCTGCCTGTTCGTTTGGCTGCCTTCCTTGCAGGTGTGGAGGTGGGTGTGGCAGAGGGTCGTCAGGCAGAGTGGAAGCACCTGAGGCCATTTGCAACACTGGCCCTGTGTGCCAGAGCACTCAGTACAAAAACCCTCTGGATTCGCAATTGGTCTCTCGCTCCTTCCTGAGACACCCATTTTGGTTTTGGTTGCGGTTATGGTTTGTTTCTACACTATACAACACTGCATATACACTTTAAACGCACCCACTCACTTACACTGCTGAAATGACTGAATTCACATGTCACTGTTAGTTTATGTTTGTCTTTTATATTACTTTGAACTTAATAAATAACTAATCAACTGTTTCATTGAATGCGTCCCCCTGTGTTGTCATGGCCGTTCGGCCCGGTTTGTGACAACTGTAAGCAAAAGCAACACATTAAAGCTCTTACATTTAAAACATGTCATTTTATATTATCAGTAGCTAAGCTGTCATAAGAAAGCTACGAGAACCTGATTAATTTTTCACTATTTTATAGAACGACTGATTAATTGATTACTAAAGAAAATAATAGGCAGATTAATGGACAATGAAAATAATCGTTGGTTGCAGCCCTACAAAATATTGAAAAACAAGACTTTGGAGATGTTTTAAATTCATCTTTTAACACTGGTTACCCAGAAGGTGGCAGACTCAGACCTGAGAAATGAGCCTTACCCGGAATGCCGTCCAGCTCTTTCAGCTTCTCTCCATTGATGTCCGTTGCTGTGACTTGAGCTCCCTCCTTTGCAAATGCCTACACAGGTGAAAAAAACTTGAAGCAGTTACACAATGTCTGCACATGTTATGAAACGTGTAGGCCGGTATTCCCTTGTAGAAACAGTTAAAATATTTTGGTATGATCCTGTGAATCAAACAAATTGTTTTAATTCTAAAATGGCTATGGCTGTTTTGTAAAAATAAGCTATTCGTTATGAAAAAAAAGATTGGGAATAGTGAAAGGTGGGTAACTTTGATCAACTTCTTTCCATCTAAATGCACATAGTCACTTCCACTGACTTCAGGCAATACTTCGGGACACAGTGCAGACACCACAATCTTATTACTACGTATCTATAGACACAAAATTAATTGTTAGCCCTAATCTCTCAACCCTCTCTTTAAATCCATGCTACTCTGGCCAGCTGCTAGCTGATGGAGTGACTGCATCATTTGCCACAGAGCAGACCACATCAGCAAAATGCACATTTTAAACACTGAATGGAAAAAAGCTCAATTGACCCCTCACACCATGTACAACTTTGAATACTATGTGATTTGAACCTAA